ACTGGAAGCCTACCATTAAAGGGAGGACAATCATGGGGGTGGTTATCTGCAAGCAGGCAATGAGCAGCTGTAGGCGCTTTGAGAACTGCTTACTTTGGCAGAGCAGCCACTGGGATTCAGTTGTTTGTGCCCTTATCTGCTCAGGCATGTTGGAAAAGGGCAGTTTCCTAGGAGTTTATCTGCAGTGGAGGTGAGGAGTGATCCATAGCATGGTGGTTAGACAATGCTCTCACCCTTCTGGGTGAAGGTGTGGCAGTATGTTGTTGAGCCAGTGAAGCTTTCATTTCCTTTGCAACTTGTTGGACTCCACAAAGAACTGTTTAAAAATAAACTTTCATATATATCATCAGCTGTATTGCTGTGATGGGGATTACCAATGGGTGTGGTAAAAGGCTGACGTGTATAAATGCATAATACAGCTATTGACAACACCCTGCTTGGCTCTGTGTGAGCCTCTCTTGGCGGTAGGGTGACATAGGATTCTACTGCAGGATAAGACTGCGTTTGTCTTCTGACACCGAAAACAATTTTGCAGTGTGAAGATGTGATGGGTTTTCCTTTGGCTGGGGGCCAAACAACACACCTGCTCAGCCAATTCCCCCCCACCCCCCCTTGAGGATAGGGGAGAGAATTAAAGGGGTAAAGGGAAAAAAGGACTCGTGGGTTGAGATAAGAACAATTTAATAACTAAACTACAATAATATTGAAAATAACACTATATACAAATGAGTGATACACAGTGATACTGCCTCCCACCCAATGACCAAGGCTCAGCCTGTTCCTGGTTAATAATCCCAGAGCAGGGAGAGTCCCGAAACCACACTCACGGAACGGAGATAACAGTCCGAGCATCCCAGACCGAGAGCTGACCGGGGTGGGGGGCGGAAGGCCTTGGGAGAGCGACCACCTGGAGCAAAAGAGCGACCACCTGGAGCGAGATGACCTGGAGCAAAAGAGATCCGGAACCAAAAGGGCCGATCTTCCAGAGGGTCCTCAGCTATATACTGGGCATGACGTGTATGTTATGGAGTAGATTATTGGCCACTCTGGGTCTCAATCCTGAACCTAAGATCAAATCCTGAGCTAGTAACTGGGGCTGTGCTCCCTCCCAGCTTCTCCTGTTTGCAGACAGCCAGAGAAGCTGAAAGACCTTGTCAGCTGCAGAAACATCACTTTTCATCAGCTTTCTTCTGAGCACAAATCCAAAACACAGCCTCTTGTTAGCTGTTATGAAGAAAGTTAACTCTGTCTCAGCTTAACCTGGGAGAAAGATAAAAAAAATCACAGTACACATGATCTGAAAGTGTGCTTTTTTTTGAGCTTCATACAAAAGGGTTCCTGCTACAGTCTCTGCCATTTGTATCATTATTCTAAAGTAGGACAATTCAGAAACTAGATATGACCCAAATTAATACTTCCTGTGAAAATTCAGGCTGCATAAATTCAGAGTAGAAAAACTCATTTTGCATGAAACTTCATCTCAGGTGCTTTACTGTTAAATTTGGAATCTATGTTCCTCTCTGCTTTTGAAAGCAGACTGAAACAGGTAGAGGTATGTGGCAGTAGCTTAAAACTTGTCACTTGCAAGGTCTTCCTCCTCTCTGGCAGAACACTTGCTCTGAAGCAGTCTCTCTGGATTGAGTGTTGATTGCACAGTGTCAGACTGTACTTGCTTTATAACTTGTTTCTCTCTCTTTTCACATTCTCTGCTATTCAGCAGGCCTGAATTTTGCCAGCATTATGTCTTTATTGGATTGTGAAGAACTTGAGACCAAACTGACCCTCCCTGAGCATCCTCCCATTACAAAATGTGTCAGAGCATTTATGACAAGATTTGAAGTCTGTGGTAGCGTGAAGTTTTGCAGTCTTCAGTATCTTACTGGAATGTTGTTCACTGACAGTTATTGATGACGTGATGACTTGGGATACTGCTTTGACTGGTTGGGTCAGGTTTTTTTAATTTCAGGGTTTTCTCTCTGACTCAGTCTCTTAGGCTTCTTTGAAAGATGTTATCAAGGCTTCTGAAAATGATTGGCTGCCACAAAATTTTTGTGGCTAAACAGTTTTCAGTGAAAAGGAGCATCGTCACTAACTTGACTGTTTATGACAATCTTTTTGGTTGGACATTGTTTTGGCTTTTCAAGTATGTGTCAACTGTTGCACACAATACAAAAAGTGGCAGCTTCTCTTTCGAGTAGTGTCACACCGGGACAGTACTTGTTAAATTGCAACTTCTAGCAAAATGTGAATTTTCACATTGCTCAGTGTACTTCAAGGCTGTCGGTTAATTTACAACAAATATTACAGTGAAATAATGCTATTGTGTATTTGAATTTTTTTCATATTGTAGTATTGATTTTGCACAAACTCACCTGTCAGATCCTACTGAATTAATTTGGTTTTCTTCCAGTATTTAAGTGCCTATGAAATAATAGTCTGCTTGGTTGCTTAGTAAGGTTAGTATGGGTCATATCCAGGTATACTAGTGCTTCAGTTTCTGTGCTTCTGAGAGTATGTATTGCAATCTAAATTTGGCAAATTTGGTTGTTGTCACTTGCTGACTCGAATTCAGGGGAATTTATATTACTTGTCTGAAATACATACTAAAAACAAGTAAGCATGACTTTCAGGATGCATGTTTCCTTTTAAGAGAAAAGTGCAAAGACAAAGCAGTGTGGAGTAGTTCAAAATGCTGTGCAGTAAGTTGAAAATTTACAGGCTTGGAGCTATTATCATGTTCTTATACTACCTCTTGAGTAAAAAGAAAACAATGGTTCTTTTTAAGCCATGATGGCCAAACCAGAAATGTTTTCTTGTTCGCATCCATCTCCTTTTTAAAAGAACTTGTAACATGATGTTAGTTATATTCCTCTGCTACATCTCTAATTACTCATGCTTATTTCACTTAGATAACCTTTCTGGAGAAAACAATGTAAGCAACTTAATTTTCAATTGCATTTTCAGAATTCTTTGATGGCAGAATGGGGTACTATTACTGATGTGATCCAGAGAGTTTCTCCTGTAGGTTGTGGGTTAACCTTGGTAGGTAGCTAAGCACTCCACAGCTTCTTGCTTGCTTCTTCCCTGCCAGTGGGATGGGGGAGAGAATTGGAAGGGTAAAAATGAGAAAACTCATGAGCTGAAATAATGACAATTTAACAAGTTGGTTTGTTTTTTTTTTTTTAAAAAAAAAAGGTAAAACAAAACTTAGAAAAACAAGTGATGGAAATCAAATAATTGTTCGGCACTAGCTGACCACTGCTCAGCCAGTCCCCTGAGCATCAACAGCCCCGGCAAACCTATCTGCGAGCTGTTATTGCTCAGCTATGGCATGGGAGATCCCTTTGGTCAGCTGCCCCAGCTGCTTGCCCACCCCCAGCCTGCTCACTGTCAGGGCAGCCTGAGAACCAGAAGAGGCCTTGACACTGTGTAAGTGCTGTTCAGCAACAGCTAAAACATCTGTGTGTTATCATCAGTGTTTTCATCACAAATCCAAAACATGGCACTACATGAGCTACTGTCTAGAACAAATTAACCCTCTCCCAGCCAAAACCAGTGCACCTTGTTACTTATTTAGTTATTAATTCTCAGAAGGATTGGCTTAATCTCTAACGATGCTTCAGTCAGCATGCTTTTACACTTCACCTCCTCACTGCTAATAAAACCTTAGTGCATGTCCTCAGCGAGGGATTTTGATATAAGTTTCACAAAAATTGTCATGCTTCGCATTCTGACTGAGCTGCACACAAGGGGGATTTATTACGCAGGAGGATGTAATTTTAGTGTGAGATGGAGGGATCATGATGGGTAAAGGTAGTGAGGTAATGGTGTCTTGTTACCACGCTGTGTTAGTATCTGATAGTTCTGTTTGTAACTCAACTGTGCTGCCATGTGCATGTGCTCTTTTTGAGCTTTCTAGTTAACAAAGTCTAAGTTACATTTGGTTCTTACTTGCTACTACAGATGTCTCTTGTGTTTACATCTTCTGTAATGTGTCACTGTTTTTCAGACATCTGAGCTTGTTTTGACCTTAAATCTCTGGAGGAGGGTACATTTTGCTGCTCTGCACTAACTTTCCCATGTCTGAAACTGTGCAAGCAGACAAAATGTTCTGTCTTCATATAACGCAAATACTGTAATGTTACTGTTGGGAGAGGTAGGGAATGACACGTAGCTACAGGAAGAGATAGTAGGAGATCTGCTAAAACTGTAACATGATTTTTTTAAAAAAGCTAACGGGATTGTTACATGTGCACACACGTGTTAGACTATGTGAATTAACGATCATAGAGCCCTTGGGTATTGGTGAGGTGCAGAGATTTGTGTTAGAGCAAACACTTGTGGGACTGAGACAACTATTACAAATACAGAGAATAACTGCGTTTGTAGCCTAGTAGGAAGCAAGTTGAATCTTTCCACTCTGCGTAAATTAAATTATTCTTTCAGTTCCTGATTTACTTACTTAAACGGGGTATTTTTAGGTTTTTAGTGACACGTTGGCTTGCTTTTCTCTGAGAAAGTAAATAGCTAATCCTTGCTGCTGCTGTGTCTTGGTGCTTGTTATTTAAGCTGGAAATTCTTTCAAATGTCTGTTTTCTTTCCCATGCAGCTGTTGTATCTCATGTTTTCTTGTATGGCGTCGACTCCCTGTTGCTTCCTTTTTCAATTCTTGCTTAGTAAACTAACAAGAATTCTTGACAAATACTATGTCTCTAAAAGAAAACACTGCATACAGAAATGTAAATCTTTTCCCTTAATTGCTCTTGGATGCTCTGAACCCACTTGTGCCTTTTCCAAGTGGTGAATGCTTTCTTTGCTACAAAAAGGACAAGCTCGGTATAATTAGTAGAATGGCTTCCAGTGAAAAAGTGGATAGCTTTCACTGAAGATAGCAGAACTGAAATCAAGTCCTTAGTTATCTAGAGATTTAAAACAAATCCACTTTAAACAGTGCATGTGGGAGGAGGAAAAGAAAACTAATGAAGCAATATTTTTCTTCTAGATTTTTTTCATTTTATACCTGTGAATTTTCTGCAATCCAAAGATGGCAGCAAATAAGCCTAAAGGACAGAATTCATTGGCTTTACACAAAGTCATCATGGTGGGAAGTGGTGGTGTAGGAAAATCTGCTTTAACACTACAGTTTATGTATGATGAGGTAAGAATCTCCACTAGAAATTATCTCAGGAGATGTCTGCTACACAGTGTTGTTTAAGCATTTGTTAGTGCAGTTATTTTCTGAAAGGGTCTAACTGTATATGATGTAGTATGAAAGTCAGCGATTAAATTGAACAAAAATATTTTTGAGATAAGCGATTTGCCCTCAAATTGCCAAAAAAATTGGCATTTTTCAGACTTGTAAGCAATTAGATGCTCTGTCACATTATCACTTTGTCATTGGTCACTAGACCAATTAGAACTTATTTAGGTATTATACCTCAGAGCATCTTCACTTCAGTGAGTTGCATGGTGCCGGAAATGATGACCAATTTTTTTCCATTTTTTTTATGCTGTTGTTGAAGAGAGGAAAGAAAATCTGTTTCTTGTTTCCCTATTTTTTTGACAGTGAAAGTCATTCTTTTTGATTAAAGGGCAGAAGTTACAGCTTCAGTGTCCTTTAAAAATTGATAGTAAATATATTCAGAGTCGGGGATGCCTGACAGGGTAAAGGAACACAGCCAGATGTTGTGCTTGACCAGAGGCAGATGCTTGAGTAGTGCACAGATGTTGATGTTTTGCTGTTACCTCTAAAATTTCCTGAAGAAAGCAAAAACCTATAAACTGTTTGGACTGGTGGAGAGCCTGCTTTAACTGCAAATCATTCGAGTACTTCACATAGACTAAATACATACACTTATTAGTTACTGTAACCATGTAAGATGTTTGTTATATCCTTATATGCAAATAGATGCCTTTGCTTTGTACAGGCATTATTTTATACCATGAAGATTTTTTTTCTAGTTTGTTGAAGATTATGAGCCCACCAAAGCAGACAGCTACAGGAAAAAGGTGGTTCTGGATGGAGAAGAAGTCCAGATCGATATATTGGATACAGCAGGGCAGGAAGACTATGCTGCGATAAGAGACAACTACTTCCGAAGTGGAGAAGGATTTCTTTGCGTCTTCTCTATTACAGAGTTGGAATCCTTTGCAGCAACTGCAGACTTCAGGTAATTTACAAGGCAAAATAATTATTCTAATTATAATGAGATAATTACAAGTGATTTTTTTTTGTTTTGCTTTATAATATCCTTATGATAGTCCAGATTATGTGACAGCTCTTACTGTAGTCACACAATGTTTTGAACAGATGCCCAGCCATGCCTTGGCTATCTGTACCACTTCAGATGTCTTTGCTGCTGTGTTTCTGAATACCAAAAAGGCTGTTGCCACAGAGCAGATACATAGCAGTGTTTAGAAAGCTCCTGCCCTTTGTAAATTGGCGTTGCTTGGCACTTGTGCCAAGAAGCAGTATTTTTGAGGAGGCATACTGCCATCCAAAGTAATGGATCTGAGAAAAATTTTTTATAGACTATGGTTGCATGTAATGTGTGCATAATACCACATATTCTCCAGAGTTGTCTTAGTTTTTTGCTTAATATAGAGGATTGTGTTGTTTCTCTTAACATGTGAAGCACCACCTGTAGCATGTCCAGCTGTTTTATGCTAGAGTACTTCATAGTGACAAAGATGATGTGACCGGATTAGAGTTGAAAACTGCCCAGAACTATGTCTGGTGGTATCTGTCTGAGAAGTCTTAAGTGATGTAAAGTATGTGCACTGTGTTCTGGGAGAGTGAAATGCATAGTATTAACGACGCAAATATTTCTACCTGTTAAAGATCATTTTATGAACACAGAAATTAGAAGAATCTTTGTATATTCTGTAGTAGCTATGCATTGTATGTAAAGGCCTGCTGTGGATCTGTCCCTTCAGTTTTGCCTGTATAGAATTTTTCTCTGTAAAAGATACTGATGTAAATTTTTGAGATTGAGGCAAAAAAAGTTCCGCGTAGAGTTCTGCATAGCATTCACCCTTCCCATCAAAGTCAGTATTTTACTTAATAGGGAGCAATGTGGTAAAAACAAAATTTGGGACTGGATCTTTGTGGTGTAGTAAAGATTTAACAGGTTTTTTAAGATGCTTTTCCTTTCTTCGTGTTCTTTTTTATTTGTGTCTCTGTATATGTGTGTGTTGATATATTTTGAGAGAGGGAGAGGCAGGCCTTGATCAGGCTTATGCTAGGTATTGTCAGTCCTGGAGGACTCTCTAGTATAGTTGAGCTCCTCTGGAGTGCAAAATGACCTATTTAAATCTGCTTAAAATCCTGATAACGCTTCAAAGTGCATGCTCTGTGGTTCTAGAGGAGGTCCTACTTTTCCAGCAAAGGTGAGTATTGACAATATACATGCTGAAACAGCGAGAATGGAAGAAAAAAATCCCTTCAGTGAATTGATTAAAACTCTCCCCAATCCAAATCTGAAAGTGCCTTTCAAGTTGCCTTTGAAACTGTAGAAGCCTAAATGCTAAAACAGAACTCAGAAAAATTACGTTCTCTGTGTACAAGTAACCTGTGTCTCTTGAAGGTACTGTTAAAATACCTTTGGCATTGTTGAGCAGCCTGAGGGAATACTACTGAAGAGACAGATATGAAAGAGAGTGACAAGAAGAATTGGAATGTTTGATTGTTCCCATGGGATTTTGCTCTGCTGGAATGGCAAAACTCCCAACACGAGAGCTGTTTACTGCTATTCAGTGTCTTTGATGGGGTTCCTGGTGTGCTCTGAAATGCCATTGCTCTAAGTATTTTTTTTTTAATAGAAAGCAGACCTGCAATGGCTAAACTTTTAAATATTTGAAAGGCAGTTTGATAAAATGTGGTCGTGTTTCGACTAGAATTAGTCTGTCTCTAATGATTTGTTTAAAATTATGTATCTCAAGCTGGCATACCATTAATTAGCTATTCCTTGTTTAGGAGATATCAGTCTTCAGAGGGGGCCCAAAGGAGAATATTGTCATCTGGATTGCTGTCAGATTAACTATTTACATGGTGAAATTGTTTGGCATCACCTGAACAATTAGTGTTGAAAGCTACTAGTGTTAAGCAGAGATCTTATTTGCACAGATACTGCAGTGATGCACTGAATTCTCTTCCAGCCACCCTTCCTAATCCACCAATGTTTCAAACTACTTCTGGATAGCTGCAGACCCTGTTAAAACATTTGCACTGATATTTGTGAGGCAGAGAAGGAATGCTGCTTTAATTACACCTCAGAGATGAATGTGGTCTTGCAAGCTGCCTCAAATACATATTTGTTAGCTTAAAAAAAAAAAGATTTATGGGCTATCTGCAGTTTTTCACCCCTGAGCAGAACTTTTTCCACGAGACTGCATGCTATTCAGAGTTTTTTGTAACAGCAGGAGGATCCTGCTGTACATCAAATCAAGGCCCTTTAGAATATCAATTAATTAACTCTTCCACTTCTCTCTGTTCAACTTTAAATCTGGAAAAAGGTTTCACCTCAGCCAGCAAAGTGGATTTGTTTCTTCGTTCTTTTTGTCAATCTTTCAGAAGTTGCTCCATGATAAAAGGCTACATTTCAGTACTAACTGTATGCTGCTTTCTGAGACAAAATAGAGACTATCCCTCTTGAGGGAAAACTGTTCTTCCTAGTATTTTTAATGCATTTCCCCTTAGAAGAAAACTTTGATTATTTTTTTCAGCATTGAAGACTTAGGTACCAAACCATTTGTAGTAGTGAGTTTTATTTACAACTTGAAACCCTTCATCCTAGCAGTTCAAACAGGAGAAGGGTCTATCTTTAAAAATCTGATGCATGAACCACTTGTATCTGTACACTGGCTTAGAACTGAATGAAGATCTCTGCAGTGGGTGAATATAATTGGCTTGAGAAAGATTCCTGAAAGGAAGAGCTTTTCTCTTGGTGTGCTATAGACTATTTTATCAGCTTTAAAAATGGCACATGCATTTTATTGGGGGAAAAAGTCAAGTTGTAGAACTGAAGTTTTGGTAGCTTAAAAATGGCAATCACAAATAGTAATATAAAGACAATGGTAAATGCTCTCAAGTAACACCTTCATTAAAAGGAATGACTTTAATAGAAATTTTCACCTAAACCAATCTTGTTCTACTCTTTTAGTTTCTTACTGCCTCACCTTCCTTCCTTCCTGGAGGACTATTTGTCTGTCTTTGTCTTCATTCTGTATAAAGTCATAATCAGGTTTAAGATTTTGCTGTTATGTAAGCTTCATAAAAGGAATAAGTAGGTTTTCACTGTAGGATGGAAGAGTATTTAGTCTGAGGAGTTCTTGTGTTCTAAGAATAGTACTCCATGCAGAACTTAATTCTACTTTTCCCTTTTTTTTTTCCCTCCAGGGAGCAGATCTTAAGAGTAAAAGAAGATGAGAATGTTCCCTTTTTGCTAGTTGGTAACAAATCGGATTTGGAAGATAAAAGGCAAGTTTCTGTAGAGGAAGCAAAAAACAGAGCTGATCAGTGGAATGTTAACTATGTGGAAACTTCTGCAAAAACACGAGCTAATGTTGACAAGGTAATAATTGGCCTCTTTATACAAAGAATCTCTCCATCGATTTTTACTTTATAGTTCTTTTCTATGGGTCATACTGTGTATTCATTATTTTAGCTTTTTTTTTGTGAAATTTGAATAAAATACTTTTTCCCCTTAGCTTGCGATGAGTGCATGGCTAGGTGACTTCATGTAGAACAGTGAAAATGTCAGGTGTAACAAGTTTATCCCATCCTGAACTGTAAGGAGACATTGTACAAGACATTATACAAGACCTTATTTCATTAAAAATTTCTTGAGGCAGCTATTTTGGCCCAGACTTATTACTGTGTTTTCTGTAACTAGAAGAGAATCTGCTTCTGAACAGTGAGGAACACTGTCTGACCCTCAGTCAGAATGAAGCAGCTTACAAAAGTAGGTAAGGGAGGGACTGGAGCCCCCTCTACCCTCATCTAACCAGATGCCTGGTAGGTATGTTGCTTCAATGAAGAATGGTTGAACCCTTTTAAGCTTTGAACAACCTAAAGCGCCTTGTGAGTTTTCAGGGTAACACCTGGTTCAGAAGGTCATAAGATAAGAGACAGAGAATCTTTGTCTCCACCAAGAGAAATTACTGATTAGTTTTAAGTATTTCAGCTATAACTCCAAAAGACCTTCTTGGAATAGAGAATTCAGAGTAACACTCAGCCTTGTAGAGTGCAAGAGTAACAGGTGTGTGGCAAAAGAAATAAGTAGTTCAGTTCGGTGTGCTAGCCTTTCCCTTCAGAGCTATCAATGGTCTTGATCACACATTGAAGAACTCTAATGTAAATCCTTATGTATGAGCTGTCAATTGCAATGTGACAGCTGTAATGTGAGTTCCATTTTTGCAATAACATAAACTTGACTGTTGTCTCCTGTCAGTTGTCTTCCTGAATAAATTGATTGTTCAGTACTATGGTAAGAACTTCATGCTGTTCTGTAGAGAAAATTAAGTCAATTAAATGCAGCAGAACTCGGTCTAATTGAATATAGCTTTGATTTTTTTTTTTTTGGTTAAAAGTAGTAGGTCTTTTAGTTTTGGTGCATGACTGCAGTTCACATCTGTATATTAGTCATGTAGAAATCCCCAGCTTTTCACAATCTACTTCACCATCCTTTAGCAGCAGGTGAAAAAAAAGTGTATATATATATTTTTTTTTTTAGTAGCCCTCTAATAAATAGCTTTTGCACGCACATAGTAGGCTACTACAGAGTTCCAAGTTTCTTTTTGGAGCTGGTGGCATTATGGATCCAGATTAGCATGCATCATACAGAATTAAGGTTTGACAGGGCACAAATGAGGCGTTGTTGGCACTAGTAAATACGAGGTATTCTTACTTGGAGCATCTGAAGTTACGGGGTTTGTTATGTGAACTGAAGTTACTACTCTATAAAAAATCTGGCTTCTCTGAATTCCAGAACAGTGGGTTTGCTCAGCTGGGGAAAACACAATTGGCTTCCACTCACTTGAGTAAAGGTGAGCCACTAAAACATCTTCTCAGAAGGTCGCGTACCCCAGGCAGCTAAATACTGTAGCACAGTGTTAGTGCTTAAGCAAGTTGGCAGTTGCATCTTGCCATTAGCACAGATTTAAGTACAAGCAAGTAACTTAGTGCACATTTAGACTTTTAAAGGCAATCTTCTTTCTTGATGGAAATGTTTAGTTACATTAATTTTCTTTGGATCCCGTGTAATGAAGGTTGATTTTTTTGCTGCAGTCAGTGTGAGATTAGTGTCATCATAAATAAAAACCTACTGAGCTCTGCAAAGGAGCTTTTTAGCCCCTGCACTGTCCATGTTTCACAGAAATGGATCAAGTCCCCTGACATTGATCTACAGAACATCTCCTCACAGAGAAAAGTCTTAGAACTGCTCAACTGATTTCCAACAATAAAATTATAAAGATTAAATTAAATTATTTGCTGTAGCATTATGTGATCAAGTCAAGATCTGCTTTTCAAATGAATAAAGTTTGCTTGAAACAGTCCAATCATAAAGACTTCACTGACAGCAGGATCTCTCTGAAACAAGTCATTGGTGTATGTCCAACGTTGTCATTTGTTTCCTACTAAGCCACTTGATCTAAAAAATTGGTTTTATAGCTGTATGATAACTTTGCTTTGAAGGAAATGCTGTGTTTTTTTTTATCCCCCCGTCACTTTTTGTTTAGACTTCTATCATGGACATACTGACCGTGAAATATTCAGTGTATGCTACTGCTCCATTAATTTGTTTCTAGAATTGGATGTTGCACTTTTTCAGCCTTTACAGCTCATCACTCAAAATACGTGAAATGTAAACTGATATCCTTGAGTCTCCTCAGTTAAATTTAGATAATACATTTTAAAAATCTTGGCTGGTGATGAGACTCTTCTTTCAGTCCTTGTGGAAGATTGTCTGACAGGATTAATAAGCAAACATCAGAAGACGGGAACATTATGGCACCATGAATGAAGCAGGGTTGCATCATATCAACTTGGCCTTCAAACGCAATGAAAGATTGGTTGGATTAATATGTTTGCTCAAACTGGTTGCATGTAATAGACTTTATTTTGAACAACTGAAATGGATATCATCAATGAATATCATGATAGCTTAACTTAAGCCATCTGTCTGTGATTGTTTTTGCATTTATGTTCTTACATCTTTTTTAGGTGTTTTTCGATTTAATGAGAGAAATTAGAGCCAGAAAAATGGAGGACAGCAAAGAAAAGAACGGGAAGAAGAAAAGAAAAAGCCTAGCTAAGAGGATCAGAGAAAGATGTTGCATTTTATAATCAAAACTACAAATTCCTTTCCTACCCTGACCATACTAATAAAAACCATAATTTATAAGCATGCCATGGAAGGCTCAAATGACTGAAATTACTCTGACATGTTGGAAATTGTAATGTACCACTAAAAGCATGAATTGGAGCTGCACTGAAAGTCAAATTCACTGAAAAAAAAATGTGGCTTCAAGAGAAGCAAAGTTCAGTCCATTTCATAATTGCCTACCTTCTCACATTTCTTCTGAATGTAGTGTTTCATAGTCTTTAATAGTGAACAGAGGGGAGAAGTATTACTTTTTGGGTTCTTGTAAAGCATACTTTTTTTATCACTGGTAATTGTCAGTTCATCTTGGTTTTTTTTGCCTTGAAAATTACACTTGTGAACGTGATACCTAACAAAGTGGTATGCAGTTGTTTTGCCATGGAGTCATGCAAATTAGAAAAGAATAATGTATATGCGAACAGTTATGTTGAGGAAGATTATATGTGGTTCTGCATTACCTGATTAACCTAGAAGAATGATGTAATCTCTTACATTGAAACATTTGAATATGCCTTAATTTAAAAACCTAAACATAGCAGGTTGCTTAATCAAGGGTGTCTTTTCAACTTTGTTGCATGGAGACTGTCCCTGCGCATCAGTGCGAGACTGCCCTCTCCATGGAGCGCAGTTATGTGAATGATTTCACTAACTAGCTGTCTGCTAGCAATGTCTGTTCTTTAAATGTGTGCCATACTCTGGTATTGTGAATAATGCAGAGCATATTCTGTCATCTGTAACTTGGTGAACAGTACGGTATCTTAAAACTAAAAGGTCAGAATACATATAAGACTGAAGTCATAAGCCTATGGCACATCTAAGCCTGAAATGGTTGTTTAAAACTTAGCGTTCTGATACCTTGAAACTTCCCTTTTGCAAGTAGATATTTGTCTAGATGTTCCTTGGGTTTTAACTCCCTGGAGTTGGGTGGAGTGGAGCTGATTCAGTAGTGCTAATGTGTTTTGAGTTAAGATGTTGTCTGGGAAATTCTGGTGTCATCAATTCATTTCTTTTGTGTTCCTAATACTCAGCTATGGGAATACAGTGTGTTATGCTGAAGCTCTTTGCAGGTTTTGTACTGTTTAGTCTACTTTATGTTGATTTTCAAATGGGGAACATTGTAGCTACTTTTTCTAGTTAATGTTGATATTAAACAATCAAACATGCTTTGCAATACAGAAACTTTTACCATGTGCATCCAAAATCCCCAAACAAAACATACTGCCTCAGTTGCTTCAGAACAGCAAGAATACTAGCACGTGGTTAGTATGCTGCGTCTTAACTACAAATATACCAGAATGTTTGAGCGTTTTGGTCTCCGCTAGGGTAAGACAGGCTAGATCAATTCCACAAACTGTTACACTTTTTATACACCTGTAAGCCTGTAACTGACAGTTTAAAATGTGCTCAAGCAAGCTAGGTAACAAATATTTAACTTTCATGCTAACAGACATTTTAGGGACTCGAGTCTTAGAAGTTATATTTGTCATGTTAAATATTTATCAATAGGAATTTTGTATGTGCATTTAGTAGACTGCCAAGTGCAGAATTGAAGTTACTCATGTAACTATGGCAAATAAGCCAGTCTTCATCTTGCTGTGTACTCATTTGGGTCTATTTAGCCAGGGAGTCTAACCACTAACTTTGTGACTTTTGCTTTGGAACCTGTATACTGGGAACTGAGGTGTTATGAAGCCACTGGACACATGAAACTTGTCTTGGCTGATGCCTTATCCTGTCCTCTTATTTGCTATTTGAGCCATTGAAAGATGAATAAACTTCCATTTTTTTAAATACTTGTGCAGTGTTAATTGATAACTATATTATTGTATTATTGATAAACTTTGCTATAGCTGATGCCAGTTGTCAAGCAGGTAAACATAAATATTCCAGAAACCTTTTTCTTGTGTGTGTGAACAAAATGGTAGATGAAACCTAATTAGTCTGATAAAAAGCCATTTTGTAGACACTGAGACTATGCATATGCTACCTTTTATCTAGAGCTAATTTATCCCTACTTGGTATAAAAAAGAATATCAGAAACTAGGCAAAAAGATGCATTCTAAGTCATTTTCTTTTAGCACACTCAGGCACAAGTAATTGTGCTTCCTCAACCTGCAGGGAATATGGCTTGAATTGTGTATATAAGATTTGGGTGCATCTTGAGAGAGTCATCCAAACTGAGCAATAAATTTGCATCATAGAGGAGTGTTTGGTTTAGGCTACTTCTGCGCCTGAACCTCCTAGGTCTATCTGCTCAGAGGGCTTCTGTGCCTGAGAGCACTGTTCTTCCCGTTTTTCCTTCAAGAAGTTGGAAGATACTTTCTTACTTTGGCAGGATCTAAGCCTTCCGTGGCATTTCTCTCCAGGTTAGCCTAGCACTGTACTGGCTGCTACCTTTTGTCAAATGCATTGTGTTGTAAAACTGCAGACTGGAGGGAGATGCCTTAATTTCTAACAACCTATACAATTCAGTCTTCTGTTATGTACGAAACAAATATTGAGTTCTTATGCTAACTCAATTTTTTTTTTTTCTGTAGCTTTAAAAACTCAGTTGACTTTTGAAAATGCTGGCTAAGAAATCTGTGGTCTGTTTGGTAGTTTCTGTAGCCTCCTGATGAGCATACAATAGTTTTAACAGTAGTAGTTTCCAGCAGTTTTCTTTGTCTATTCTGCAGCAGCATCACAGTGTGCAGGAAGCACTTTCCCATTCATAGAGACCTTGTTAATGTAAGAGTAGTGTGCAGAACGACCCCACTGGCAAATCCAGTGGCAATCATAATGTGAAAAAATGCAGTCCATAGCTGAGCCTTAGGCTCTCCATATTCATTTGTAGGAACCAAATATTTTGTCTGTTAATATGTGTCATTTGTCTATTAATATGTGTGATTGGCTTACTGAAAATCTTGGGTTCCTTTTAGGGGACACCAAGCTTTGCAATGATTGTCTAGTTCCAGAGTCTGAGAGGGCAGATGTTTTCCACATGACTAGTCCCATGCAAAGTGCAGCAGAGACACAGCTGGTATTGCATGAAGGCAGAGAATACGTTTCACTGTCCCAGACCTGGACCAGAAGGTAAGACTGAGCCTACAGCAACTGAGAATGGAATAGGGAAAGGTAATAGCACACCTTAATTTCTAAACTTTCTCCCATTATTGTCAGACACATTGGTTCTTCTAGCCACGTGGATAGGTAGTCAGTCATGTGCATAAACTATGTTTCGTTCCAGACTTGCTCTTGCTATTTTTTGGCTATGATTTTAGCTTAGATAAATGACTAGGTATGTTTTTAAGAGATGACTCATGAATGCATATTTTTGTGGGAGCTTCAGCTTCTTCCTAAAATTAAGTGGTAGGAAAGGTGCCAATGTTGCTAATACTGGAGTGTAAGCTAATCTTTGACATAAATACATTGGCCAGACTGGAATATTTTTAGTTGAAACTTCATTGTCAAAGAAATGCTAAAATGCATACCACTTGAGATCTGCCCAGGATCAGACAGATGCCAAGGCTCTTTTCACTTTCAAAGAGATCCTGGGTGGATCTAACCAGCCATCTAGCTGGCACAATCCATTTTGGGAAAATATTCAGCAGATGGGGAAAAGAAAAGACCCCAGTACACACAAACATTTTTCTTCTGTGCAGAATGGAAAAATACCAAAGTTTAAGTTGTTGGAAAATTATTTGCCTCCACCATCCCCTTGATTAGTATTGCACTCAGTAATATTTAACACTCCCAGAGCGCTTAATATGTGATACCTGTTGTGGATTTCAGTGGATTACACTTTTAAAATTCCACCAGGACATCCCCTACCCATGGACTCTGAAGTGTTAAAAGCTGAGGTCCTGTCTGCACCCCAACAACACAGAAACACATGAGTCTGAAAGGGGATGATTGTGGTGTGCTGCTCTTTACAGGATTTTTATTCTCTTCCTGCTTTCCACAGTTGCTTCAGGCCCTTAGCTACTGCTTGCTTATGCAGAGCGAGGTTGGGTGTTTTACCATGATCCTGGATTTCCCCACTTGATGGAGGTTGCTGGTTTTGTCGTTGCTATCAAGCAGCTGTGTACCTGCGCTTGGCTGTGGGCTCCCGCATAGGCGGACATAATTCCTGCATGTAAAACAAAGGTAACGTCTGGAACAATTTACACTTCTGAGGCGTTGTGAAAGCCCCCAGGAATTGAATAATGTAATAAAAATCTAAGAGAAGAATGAAAGAGGTGGTGTTGGTGGCATCTCAGACCCATAATGGTGAACTGTAGTTCTGCAGCTGTAGCACTTTTTTGAGTCTCTGCTCCCCTTCATGTAACAGTTGTCCTACAATATTCAGGAGAGAATTCTGGGTTTTGCCCATTTTCTGGTTTATTAATATGACAAGGTGTTGCAAAATAAGGAATGGGGGGAAGGATAGTTTCAAACCTAAAGCCATGTGGTAACGGTAAGCAGACTTCAGAATGATCTTAAAAGTGTCAAAATATTGAAGTATTTCATCGCGCTGTTGTTGCCTTTGCTCTTAGCTGAACAGGCCAGGAGGAGGATACATGTTTAATAATGTTCCACCAAAGTTCTTTCTGTGGGAATCACTTGGAAATTTTCTTGGTGATTTTTAAAAAAAAGTTTTTTCTCATGTGAAAAAGTAGGCTGTTACCCACATTTATAATTGGAAAAAACTGAGATAAAGCAGTGCCACAACCTGTTGCACATCAAACAGCATGTCTGCTGCAAAACTGGAAATTGTTTTATGGCTCTTGTCACCTACAGAGCTAAATGTCTGACACCCTGAAAAGTTAACCACCATAACTTCTGAGGCAGAATTCTCTACTTTAGGTGTAGGATTCAGCTTCCCAGGCAGTATCAAGTTGTTAAAAATGTTAGCTTTCATCCCTAATTTTGAGGGTTAACAGCATGAAGGGTGTTAGTTTGCTTTCAAAATTGGCAGCTGTCCCACTAGCAGCAACTTGGAGGCAATGCCTATGAGGGCACCTGGAGGATTGCAGATTTCTTGCAGCAGAAGTCCTAGTGCAAAG